TTAATCATTATTTTTGCTTGAAATTGAGTAACACTATTTGTGCCGAAGGAAATAAAAATTAATCCTCTCTTTGTTTTCACATTTTTGTTGGCATTGTCAAAGATATTTATTTGGAAAGAGGAATAGGGTGTCTCTTATGTTTATCGTTTTACTTAATTCGTCTGTTTTGATCTATGCGCATCGGGAAATTAATTTGTTGCAATTTATTTTCAAGTTTTACATAGTGAGTATTGATGCTTTGAGGCTTGGTTGAAGCATAAGCATTGAACTGCATGTTTGGAAAAGCTAGCTAGTTATGATATTATCAGATTGAAATCAGTAAATGGTTATATGGTAGATGGCTTGATTATGTCTACTTGCGTGAACAAAATCAAACTAAGGCCTATCTGTGCGTTTTCGCGTGCCTGGTAACTTGTAAGTGCCCTCAAAACTGAAGCCTTTGTGGCCATGCTGTGCCGCTGGGTATCGCGTCGCGGTTTGCGGACCTGATCTGGTCTGATTGCGGAACGAATTATAAGGGGCATGGATAGATATTTGAAAGAGATCGTCGAATTTCTGGCCAGCAACAGGATTTATTTGGGTGCTGCGATGTCCAGGGGCATCCAGTGGAGGTTCGACCCTCCGACTTGCCCGCACTGGGGCAGTATTTTTGAGGCGGTGGTTAAGGTTGCAAGATCTGATGGGGTGCCTAGGGTGGCCGAGGTTTTGGTTGGAGATTCGGTCTTGCAACGTGCCGTCGCGACTCTATTCCGTTTGCCAATTTACTCGCGGACATAAGTCCTTATGTCCGGGACGGGGGTTTGTTTAGGCCAAAATATTAACATATTTAAAACTTGCATTCCAAGATGCTCGCCTTGGCGTATCCTCCAATGGAATTTAGAGGTCACCGCCTGGGACAGTTGCGCGCGCGCGTCGCATCGGACGACCGCACCATTTTCAGTATGACGATTACGTGCGAAGCGGTCGGCCGCGTGACCAACGCCTCTTATTGATTGTCTTTTCGTGATTTAAGTTACAAGAGGCCCTTTTGAGTTTTGAAACGCTAAGAATGTGTGACCCGACAGGAGATCGCTTCGTGTTGGATATAGATTAATTGTGCGCGTACACCGGGGCGAGTAGAAGTCTAGAAAAATAATTGTTGCGCGACGGACGGTATTGTAAAAGTCTAGTAAAGATTTGTTGTGCGGTGGCCGGGCGCGTGCCTCCTATGGAGTTATCTTAATTTGTACGTTTCGTGATAACGAGGCTTGTCTTAAATTTGCGACGACGGGTTGTTGTGTGCCGTTTGATAGCGTAATATGAAATTTGCTCTGTCGGGAGAACTCTAAAGTTTTGTAACTCGAGAAGAGACCGCGTTCGTTCTCGTGTTTATAATTTTGTGCTAAGTGAACCTGGAACATTGAATATTGAACTTTGACCGACTGCTCTTTACTTGTGTCGTGTGTCACTTGTTTTAATTTCGATGAACGTTGATTTGGTTGACTTTGAAGTTAATTAAATGTACAATAAAGTTGATAAACTAATACAGTGAAATGAAAGCAGAAGTTTTCAATTGGTGAACGCCCCCCTGGAGGGATCGCACATTTGGAGAGAAGCAGCGCCTGTGGATCTGCAGTCCGACTACCTCGGTTAAATCAGGTTACATATACACACTACTACACACTACTTACATGCACATCACTTACCACCTGACTGGTACCATGTGGTTAACCCTACCTCCGGAAATCGGTAAGTTGTGCTTGCTTATTTGCCATTAATTTAGAACTATCCATAGGCCATTGGGCCCGAACCCTCGGCTGCTCGTCGAGGAGGCTACTATGGGCCCTAGCCAAGTCGACCTTTGCCGGGGCAGCTGGGGGCCGTAACACCTACACTAACCCAAATAGTCCATGGGTGTGGCACCATCTTCACATCATCTTCTTAATACCAACTAGATCCAAAGTAAAATAAAAAATTGCGACCCAACAAAAGTGGCAAGTATGGCAAATACCCCCCTTATGAGATTATCTGTGGGGAAGCCAGTATGTTAAGAGATGTTCAGTAGTTGACTTTGATAGATTGTAATGAACGTAATTTCAGAAACTGTTAGATCTCGTCAAAACATCGTCATCTACTTTAGCGGGTCTAAGAATCGTTCTCCTTAAGTTACTTCGCAAAATGATATTTGTAAGATATTATAAAATTATAAAATAAATATTAACATATTAAATATTATTAAGTATTCAAGAAGGGAAATGAAATATTCATAAACTGCCAGCACATTATTTAAAAAAATATATTTCATTATAATTTATATTATTTTTAAATTTAAATTTTATGAGAATAACTGTGTCCAGATAGGTATAAGGATTTACACAAAAAAACTTGGGGAAGCTCGCGCCGCACAGCGGCTTGCTTTGTGGCGGCCGTGTCAGTGACCTCACAGCGGCCGTAGGTAATATATCTCCACGCGTCGGTAAATTCAGAAGCAAATAACATTTTTAGAAATATTAAATTTAGTAATTTATCTGATTAGAAACTCTAAAACCCCATTTAAAGCAACCAAAAAAATTTTTCATTATCATAATTGCCATACCTATGTGTACACCTATACGTCCCCGAAACGACCAACGGGTTTTATGTTATATATTGAATAATCAACACAGCACGTGTCAACTCACTAGCGCCTAGCGAGTGACTGAGTAAAGAGGGGCGACATCGATATTACTTTGAATAAGAACAAGATAATGGCGGAATAAATATAAAATTATTTAATTTCTATTAATTTAACAAAATTTCCATTTATTTATTTTTGTTTATTGTAGCACATGAATCGTAAGTTACTTTAATTTAGTGCACATGAATATTACGGCATTGTACATACTATGTATGGTACATACTAAATTAGAATTATGTTACTTAATTTTTGCAAAACGATTGTATAGACTTGACAGTTTTTACGTCCCAATGGAAGTCACATCTCTAGAAATTAATTTAATCTGAGGTAGTTAATTTGACAATAACATTTCGCTTAATCTATTGACATATATAATATATTTAACATTTAATCTATATGGCATGTATTTTTTAATTTATTTGGCCTTTTTGACATGTACCTTGTATTATTACTTATTATTTAAAACTATAATTTGTAAATTAGCATGCTGGTGTTTTGGGCATACTGTAAGCTAGCATGTACCTACATTGTTTTAAAATAAATTAAATTAAATAAAGGTTTATAGTTAGTCCCAAGTTAAACTATAACCTATTACTATATAAAGCCCCCAGAACTATGCGAACTTTGATGCAAATTGTATGGAATTTTATAGCAAATGTCAGATTTTGTGAAGAATGATGCGCCGCGGCTACGGGATCTCTTTACTTGTATGACTAGTATTTAATCTGAATTTTAGTATGCATTTAGAAATTTTGTAATAAGACTATAAATGTTTGAGTAACATGAGAGAGACATAACAAGTGTTCTGTGTTAATGAATATATTCAAGAAGCTTAGAATAATTATAATAATACATACTTATATAAAAAAAAGTTAAAATATAAGGCTAAAGCTTTTTTTTAAATTTAATAGGTAATTAGTTTGGTAACTCTTGTTAGTAAAACTTAAAAACTGAAAAATTAAAGCATAGATAAATAATACTAACAGTATTTATCCCGGTTAAAATAGGTTTTTTTCGGTTTCAGAGCCTTGTGGAATATTTAGAGACGATGGCAGGAGACCCGACGGTATGACATTGGTCCTTTGGGTGAGAGGTAAAGCCCTAGTGTGGGATGCTACTTGCGTAGACACTCTGGCGGCCTCTCATCTCAGGGGTACCTCGTTTAGAGCCGGGGCGGCATCACAGGCAGCTGAACTGAGTAAGTGGCGCAAATATGAGTCTCTGAGAGATGACTACATATTTGTGCCATTTGCTGTAAAGACTATCGGTCCGTGGGTTCCATGTGCGGTGAAGTTCTTAAAGGGACTCCATCCGGGGCTGGTCGTTGCTGCTGGTGATAAGAGGACTGGTTCTTTTCTCGCTCAAAGGCTAAGTATAGCCATTCAGCGGGGAAACGCGGCCAGCGTTCTTAGCACGATACCGCGGGGAGTAGGACTATATGATAATTAAGTTTCTAGTTTTAGTTTTTTTTTATTATTATAGTTTTTAATATTGTATATTATAAATAAAATAAATAAGTTTGGTATAATTTATCATAATAATTAAAGTGTTATACCTAATACATTGAATATTATTCACCTTTCTTTTAATTACAAAGTCAAAAATCTTACGTCAAAAATATCAAATTGCCTTAATACGATTTATGTTTTTTTTTGTATGCAAATTATGTTAATGTACATTGCTAACTTTTAACTATGTGTTTTAATTCCAATTAATGGCATCCTTTCTTTCCGTCTTAAAATTTTGTTATCTGTTACATAAAACAATGCCAACACTAACCTTCTTACAATTGGTCACTTTGAAACTTTGATTTTAAGAGACCAATAACAGAATGGGTTTATTTACACAACGTGTAAATGAAAAAGCATATATGATGATTCATAAACTTTCAAAAGACACTCGTTTCCGGAATAGATCATTATACATCTATGCTCTTGTTCGTATTGCTTATGGCAACCTAATTAGCTACTAAAAAATAATTCATTATTACTTTTTATTTGTTTTTATTGTACGAAAAGTTGTTATTCTTTTACTAGACATATAGCTTTTTATATAATTTGAATGTACACGAGTTTTTATTCAATAATATTTTTTCGCGGTCTTATTTCAAAATCGTTCCACCGGAAATTCGTCTATAGATGCGTTTGTTTCCGAAAAGTGAACGTTTCACGAGTCAACAGCAACGTCTTTCGAGAAGTTCTAGGCGCTGTTTGCGACATTTTTCTTTCTTTTATCCGTCATCCAATGTTTTGTGTGATGAAATAACACGAAGATTAGCCAGTAATTTGGATATTAGTGATCATAGTCGTAATTAAGTAACCGCTAGATTACGATATAAGCTAATATGGGCGACGAAAGCCACCCGAAAACTCTCTACGTCGGTAATTTAGACGCGAGTGTGACAGAAGAATTCCTATGCGCGTTGTTCGGACAAATAGGCGAAGTAAAAGGTTGTAAAATAATACGCGAACCCGGCAACGATCCATATGCGTTCCTCGAATTTACAAATCATACGTCGGCGGCTACGGCCCTGGCCGCCATGAACAAGCGAGTGTTTCTCGAGAAGGAAATGAAGGTTAACTGGGCTACAAGTCCTGGTAATCAACCGAAGACGGATACGAGCAATCATCACCATATATTTGTAGGTGATTTGTCGCCAGAGATAGAAACTCATATATTGCGTGAGGCTTTCGCACCATTTGGTGAAATTTCTAATTGTCGAATAGTACGCGATCCCCAAACGCTCAAATCCAAGGGGTATGCTTTCGTATCATTCGTTAAGAAGGCTGATGCCGAAGCTGCTATTCAAGCAATGAACGGCCAATGGTTAGGATCTCGCTCTATCCGTACGAATTGGTCGACACGTAAGCCTCCCACCAATAGACCAAATGAAGGCGCGCCCAGTAGCAAACGAGCAAAACAACCAACATTTGACGAGGTGTACAATCAAAGTTCACCAACAAATACTACTGTGTACTGTGGTGGCTTCACAAGTAATGTCATAACTGAAGATCTAATGCAGAGTACCTTCTCACAATTTGGTCAGATACAAGATGTTAGAGTATTTAGGGACAAAGGATATGCATTCATTAGGTTCACAACTAAGGAGGCTGCAGCACATGCAATTGAAGCAACACATAATACAGAAATTAGCGGACACACAGTTAAATGTTTCTGGGGAAAAGAGAATGGAGGCGGAGAAAACCAGGTGTGTTTGGTTATTTTTAATCTATTATATGGTTAATATTTTATGTGATATTTTCAGCTAAGGTTAACACATTTTATATTTTTTTTACATTTCAGAGTACAAATAACCCACCAGCAGCACCACCGGCAATGGGAGCACAAACGCAGTATCCTTATGCCTACCAGCAAGGAATGGGCTATTGGTATGCTCAGGTAAATATTAAATGTTATTTTTTTGTCTTTATCAAAATTAGTAGTACAATATTTGTGCGTGAGATGGTTAATATCAAATTCCAGATTGTTTAGCCTTTTTTTTGAAAACTGAATGTTGACAGTATCTGCTTTGTCAAGATATTTTCAGGGTATTTATTAGCCGAAATATAATGAAATTTATGTACAATTATTGTGAGTGATTTATATATGCAAGGCAATAATAAGTGAAATTTTACTGCAACGTAAACTCATGAATATTATATGTAGAAGATGCTTCAATCGGATGTATTTGTTATTAATACTTCAATATGTCATAAAATTTTGGACTTATTATGCAAACTTTATACCTGCATAACCTTTTCTAAGTTCTTTTAGTTTGGCTTTTAAGAGAATTAGGGTATAGAGAGCACTATTTAATTAAGTACACTGGTTTAATTAAGTAATATTGTCTTAAATATTTGTTTGGTTTTGCATCTAAGTTATAATTACATAATATAAATTTTAATACATTAAGACAACAAGAAGCTACATCATTTAGGTACAGACAGAATGTTTTATTTTGACAGGTCATATAACATTTTCAGTTGTTTTGTGTAATATATCCTACTAGCGATCTGCAACGGATTTGCACAGGTGATTTCTGGATCTAGACAAGAGCGCCATCTACCGGGTTTCATTGTGCATCTATACCATTCTCAAATCAACTTAATCACACACACAAAATTTCAATAAACTAAACCACAGATATTCATAAAAGTAGAAATATTAAATAAAGTGTTAAAAATGTGCAAAACATTAAAGAGCAAACCACTGACACATTGTTTTGTGTATTAACATAATACTCTAGAAACTGTTTTCTTATATTTACGCGAATACTACACATTTCAGGTACTTTACAGCAACCCGAAATGTCGGGTATCAATAAAAAACAATTTAATTAAATGCGATAGAATCCGTAAAAATAGTTTTATTCAACACTAGAAACTGATAAACTTTTATTAAAAACCAACTTCTCAATTAAATTACATTGTTTAACAAAAAACTACCTCAGTGTCAACTCACTAGTTGACATATCACTATATCTGGTGAGCAGAAAATTATTAGCCCTCATTGTTTGTTATCCTGACCAGCTAGGGACAATTTTTAGGTTTCATTTTGCTAATACTGAATCTGTAGTTTTAAATATCATTGGTGGTACATAAATAACAATTAAGGACAGTTATATTTTAAAAGCAAGAAAAGGTAAGACCTGTCACTATTCTTTGTTTTTATTATTAATACAACACAAAGAGATGCAATAATGATGACCAGTGACTCACAAAACTTAAAAGTACAATCACCTTTGTTATATGGTACAGTAACTTTGTTACTACTAATGATTCAAGATAAAATAAAAATTGTTAAGTAATTATTAAATTTAAAACTGAATAAATTTAAGCTGTTCGGTGAATGACTTAATGATATCTGGACTAAATTAAAGCTTTCAAACATTTCATGGAACTTCTACATGGTATAATCTGGCTCTGCTTCTAATCAGTGTTCAACATGATTCAATATTCTAAGTAAGATAAGTGTAAGATATGTTTTTTTCATTAAGTGGCATGATAAGTTGCACTCTAAAATTACTCTTGACTTTTTACATAGTACATATAAAATTTATTAATAACTTGACCACAGTGCCCCTTATTGGGTCCAGATTTTGTGATTTTTTTTTGGCAGTGATTCAAAAAATCTGCTACACTATATCATATATACAAATAAATAATAAAAAACCCTTGTGATTATGTTAATCCAATAGGTATAATAAAATTATAATAATAACAATATCATATGTGTAATAAATACTAATAGTGGTTCAACTCCTTTGTTATACCCCAAAAACCTTACAAGGCTGTCTTGACATCTATTCGCTATAAATATGCAAGAGTTGTCACAAAAACATTTCCTTAGATAATAATATCATAACATTATATCTGTATTACTCGTAATAATTTATTTCTATATACTAAGAAAAACTAGTTGCATTCCGCAGCTTCACCTAATTTGGCGTAATGGAAACAAAGGCTTGTACTAGTAGGTACCTACCTAATTTTACTATATTTTACTTATATAGCAGTAGGTATCTCAGTTATTCCACTTTTGGACATGGGGTTGAACAGAATAAATAAAACAGGTTAAAAGTATATGTTAATTTAACTGTTTCGTTACATGTATGCAACTGACAAATATTTACGACATTTTTTATTGGGTGTTTCTAATTGTCTTTGTTGAATTTAATAATATAATGTATCCTTACTTATAATTCCATTAAAAATCGTGATTGAAAGCAACCACATGATTATTATAATTCAATTTTACAAGTGTCTTACAATCTTTCCCAATATTTTAAAATAATACCAAGTAATATCATGTTGTTGGGGGAAAACCAAACATATGCAACTGATTATAAGCCAGCGCTTGCCGTGTATGTGACACTCCTAAACGGAAGTACCGGTACGCAAGCAAAGGAGACTCCGCTCTCCTTCATACCGCGCCCCATCGTTGCTCCGTCTAGTCGCCGAGTTGACTCACTATTACACATATACATACATTGACAGACATAAATTTTATGTATCTTCATTGATTTATTGCTGGATTTTTTTGTACTTAATTAAAGCCTTTGATATTGCATTTAGGTCCTAATAATTCTGCCAAAGCCCAGTCTTTGGTCTATCACATCTTGTCTTGAGACTTCTTGGTGAGAAAGTAGTTGACAGTTTTTAGGTGACAATTTGGCTGAAAACAAAACCCAACTAAATACAGAGTCACGGACAACTTAATAAAGAAAAAACATGGGACTATATGGGATATAGAGACTATATACACTGCAGGCCAAAAGTGTAAGACCACCTTAATTAAAGTAGGAAAATTAAATTAAACTCCAATAAAATATTAAATGTTTAATTAAACTGTTAAATAATCCAATAAAAAACTTTTTGACAACGAATATACTTGAAAAGCGTAATGAAATATTAACAGTCCATGCTAAAAAGGCTATAGTTAGCTAAACTGATTTTTCATCAAAAAATCAAGTGGCTAATTGACCACTTTCCGACGCTTCAGTTTTGGCATGCTAGTAACGTAGCTACCTTTTTTTTATACATAAATATCATTGTAAATATGACGTTTAACATTAATAAATGTAAATATTTATAACATATACTTTAGTGTCTAAAATGTTTAAATTACTGAGTCAATTAACATTTAATACAGAGTCAATAGTTAAAAATGTGCATAGTCACATCTTTCAAGTATTAATTGGCCATTTTTTTATATTACAGGGCTACCCAGCACTACAAGGATACATGGCGCCGGGGTACTATCAGCAATACGCCACCGCCTATAGCAACCCGCAGGCAGCAGCAGCTGGTGAGTATTTTAAAGATAAAAGCTTAGAAGGTTAAAAAAACGTTACCCACACACTAAGGTTTTTTCCTGTATTGTGGAGGCAGTAAAAACATAAATTACACAAGGACAAACATCCAGACCTGGAACAATTATTTGTAGACCATATAAAATACTTGTTCCATGTGGGATTCGTAACCGTGATCTCCAACATCGATAAGCCACTGCGCCACGCAGCTGCCAATACATGCATACTCAAATAATAAGAATATAATATACAACTAAAATCACCAGTTATAATTTCTATTGCTGATTTCAAAATGTTTGTTTCCATCTTTTACATTTACTTGATGTATCCAAAATATTATTTATAAAATCAAATCCTCTAACCTTGTAGGTTATCATAAGTTTTTATGCTTGTGGGTGTACCACAGTGACATTCACTATTAACATTGTAATTACAATATTATGCATTTGTCCTTCTTCTTTACGAGGGTTGATTGAAAAGTAATCGGCCTAACCAAGAAAATAAACACATACTAAATCAGTTATATTTTTATTTTTCTACATCATCACCATCAAGTTCAATACACTTTTGCCACCTCCCCTTCCAAGCATTTAGACCGTTGAAAAAAAATGATTCTTCCTTAGAGTCAAAATATGCGTCTACAGCTGCTTTGACCTCGTCGTTTGTCGAAAATCTTTGACCTCCCAAGTGCTTTTTTAGGTTAGGGAACAGAAAGAAGTCTGATGGTGCCAGATCAGGTGAATACGGCGGATGCGGTAACAGTTCAAAGCCACAGTTGTGAATTTCAGCCATTGACTGTACTGACGTGTGAACACGGGCGTTATCTGATAAAACAGGACTTTTCTTCTGAGCATTCCTCGACGTTTTTCTTTTATTTCCTCTCGTAAGCGACGTAGTAAGGTGCAGTAGTAATCAGAGTTTATAATCTGACCCCTTTCAAGATAATCAATCATAATCACACCTTCCGAGTCCCAGAATACTGAAGCCATCACCTTATTTGCCGACAAAATCGACTTAGCCTTTTTAGGGGGTGGTGAACCAGGTCTTCTCCACTGTTTTGATTGTTGTTTTGTTACCGGTGTACAGTAACGAACCCATGTTTCGTCCATAGTAACAAAACGATTCAAAAAATCATCTGCATCGGCTTCAAATAACTCCAAACAGTCGCGTGAAATAGTCAATCGCGTCCTTTTTTGTTCAACTGAAAGCAGTCGCGGAACCCACCTCGCAGACACCTTGTGGAAACCCAACTCGTTGACAATGATGTTTTGAGTTCGTTCATAAGAGATGCCTATAATCTCGGCTATCTCTCTAATTTTTAATCTGCGGTCTCCCATTATTAAATCAAGTACTTTTTTAATATTTTCGTCAGTAGTTGACGTCGAAGGCCTTCCAGAGCGGGGTTCATCTTTCACACTCTCTCTACCACGCTTAAATTCTGCTATCCATTTTTTGACGGATGAATATGACAGAGCACAATCGCCTAATGTACTGACCATGTCATCATGGATGGCTTTTGATGATAGCCCCTTCTTATGGAGGTACTTAATGACGGCACGCTGCTCGATTTGCTCCATTCGCGGAAATTATGTCCGATTACTTTGTTAATAAATTTATAAAATCACAACTAATTATCGCACACGTTTCGAACTTCACACAATGAACTAGTCTGAACTGAACTAAATAATGTGGTTAGATTTGATTTTTAGAATTGAATGGATCTGTGTTAGGCCGAGTACTTTTCAATCCACCCTCGTATTACGCTGATAACTGTGTAGTCTGTTATTCAGGGCATGTGACTACTATATCCCGGCTTTGAGTTCCAACCAATGATTCAAAGTAAAAATTCTTTCAGCATTAATATAGCGATAATTACTCCATCTCTTTTCCATCATTAGACAACCAGATGCTCTGTCAGTCTTTACCTCTTTGCTGGAGTGGAACATACCACACACTTAAACCAAATGGTTTGTTTCGTCATTCATAATGCGTACAGAATGGAGTGAAATAATTTGCAAGCATAGCAACAATAGGGTTTTGTTAAACTAAGTGAGTGTGTTTTACCATCAGGGGGTAGCAGTCAAGCGCTGGCTTATAAATTTTTCAGTACTGGTTCTACCTATTTGTCTCTGATATTACATCCTGGCCTATCTCTGATCTTTTAAGCATAAACGTTAAATCAGGTATTGGTAGATTAAACTTACTGAGTGCCTCAATGGGATGGGACCATTTGGAACTGAGGATGTGCTGACTACCAGCCAGCAGTAGCATCGGCAATCTCGTGTCACAGTTTGCGAAACGATAGATGTGTTATTTGGCGTGGATTTCCGCCCGTGTTTAGTATGATTCACCTTTATCATTATTTTCTACCGTCTTCAGAAATGAGGTACTCAATGCGACTGTATGTTTTTTTAATGTGTGTTACCTCATAACTTTTCTGGGTGAACCAATATCGATAATTCTTTTTTTTTTTTCAAAGCTGGTACTTCTCATGTGGTCACATATACATTTGAGCAAGGTCTGACCAATAGATTTTGAGTTATTCTTCAGATTTTGCCGAGAACTTGACCGGCGACGGATTGCTGCTTCTGTATTATTGTTTATATAATGGCTCGAAGTGGATTTTGATGTGTAAAAGTGATGCCATTTTGTGTATTAAATGTCTGCGCATGTGAACTATTAGTAGAAACAATGAAACAAGTACTCTGATGGTGATGTGATTCTCAAGATAAGGTGTCTGACTTCTTAGGCGCCTTGAGATACCATCGCCAAATGTCAGCTGTATGCTGGCTCAAGTTGCCGTCAAAATCTCCCAAGGGCTGCAGCCTGAGTAGGGATGTTACGGAAGTGGTTAGATCGGAACCGAATTCGGAAGCGGAGTTTTTAAATTTTGTTTGTCGGACCTGGAATCGAAGGTGAAGGCAGAAGAGAGATGTGTTAAGGGTAGTTCTAATAAAATATAATATAATTAAAAATTTTGTACAACCGACTTCAATTTAAATTATTAAGATAACTAAACTATTGGACAGACATTGATCAAATTTATATGGGACCACATGAGATGCACCAGCTTTCAAATAAAAAGAGAATCATCGAAATCAGTTCAACCAGTAAAAAGTTATGAGGTATCACACATAAAAAAAACATACAGTCGAAATGAGTACTTCCTTTTTTTGAAGTAGGTAGAAAATTATAAACATTATTCATTAGTTATATTCTTATTATAGTATATTTATATTATTATTAGTTATATATATTAGTTCAAAAATAATACAAGTAGGTGTATAACTAGGTATTAAAAATAAAAACAATCGAATTTTAAATCTTAAACAGTACCTACTAGCAGTAAAGTAACAAAAGTTAAATAAAATGAAGTGACTCCAAAAGTAGCAAATTATATTTAATAGATAAAAGCTTCGCAGCTTTATATATTTTCACAGCTTTTCCATCCAATCTATTTCTCAACGGGTCATAGATAAGGCCAGCACCACTGAAAAGTTGTTCGCTTGCTACTTAACTTGGTGGAGACGATAAATATTGGCGGACAATCGAGTTAAGGGATTGAAATTTTGTATTCACTTTCCACCATAATAAAGGATCGTTATATATTCGGTAAAAAAATGGCTTCCCCTTAACTGATAATTCGGCGCTATGAAACCTATGCCGTCTGAATCTAATACCTTCCACGAAATTGAAGGGAAGATCTTGCAAAACAATCATTTGAATTTTTAACAAGAAGATCTTGCAAAACATCATTCGAATCAATTTCGATTGATTTAGGGTTAGAACTACACCATTCTTGATTCTTCATCAAAGTGTCTTTGAGAGTAATTTGTTTTTTTACCTCTTGTACAGGCATTGAAGTCGAAGGCTGCACTGTATTTTTCTTTTTAGTTTCTAATTTTGTGAATTCTTCGAATTCAGTGGCAGACTTTAAATAAATGACTTTTTAACGAAGTAGTCGTACCTCCCTTTCGTGAATATATCTTTTGACATAGTTTACACTTTGCCATATTCCCAGAAACTTCACTGAAGTAATTCCAAATGACACTTGATTTTGGCTTCATTGTCTAATGCAAATAAATTTGTCACATGTCTAATATAAAACTACTAAACCGAATCAAAAACTCGGATAAGTATAAATGAAGTGCGAATGCAACGCAACATGTTATGTGAATTGCCAAATACGAAATAAAACATCAAGTTAATGAGTAATCGACAGAAGGCACGGGAGTAGGGAGGTTCCCGGGGTGACAAGTATAAACTTGTTTGTACACGCTGATTGCGGCCGCCGCCGCCGCTATGCATAGGTCTCCGATATAACTTCCGATTAAAATTAACGGAACCGAAATCGGAATCGAAGGTGCAAAATCAATCGGAAGTTCCGAATTTTCGGAATCGGAATCAAACCTCCGTAACATCTCTAATCCGGAGCATAATAGAAGCCAGTTATTGCAATATTACAGGCAGCAACTTCATTTTTATTTATATGTATAGATGATATTTGGAGCCAAAGGTCTTGTTTGAGGCAGTCAAAAATTCAAAATAATTACTGTATATTTTATTCTATTTGTCATGTTATAATTAGGCTGTTATTGACTATTACTGACTGTGTGATGTTGCTGTCTTGCTACTTCCTCTGTAATTGTAGTGTGTAGTGGTGGTTTAAGAATATCTACTATCCCATATCATCCCGTGGGTGTCGTAAAAGGTGACAAAGGGTAACTGAAACTGGAGATAGGCAGCAGAGCGAGGCAGTCAAGAGCTCAAATAATGAAAAAAAGCTATGGTTTTCATTTCACTTGCTAAGTGTGGCAACTGTGGTAGGCATACCCCTGGGAGGCCTATGTTCAACAGTGGTTTTTTGGTAGGCTGTAATGTATGAATGAATCAATTTGTTACAATTTAAGGAATTAGAAATATGTAGTTTACTTTCAATAGAATTGCAATCAACACTTATCTTGCTGCTGCTTTATCTTTGCGTAATATTATTGTGTTGTTTTGTGCATTATATTTTAAATACTATTTATTCATAAAATAAATATAGTTCATTATGGATGTTTCATTAATTGATTGAAATTATATTAATTTTCCATAAGTTATTGATATAATTTTTGACAACATCGTCAAATAAAACAGTTAACCTAACAAAAAGAGGTAAAGGGTTTAATATACAACTATTGCTATATTATGCCAATATTTAAAGTAAATTAAAAATCCAAATTAAAGACCTAATATTTTTCGCTAATATGATTTTCATATAATATAACAAACTTAGTTTAAATTCGGCGAAGGCTATGGGAACTACGATTTCAAGCGAAAAATATGTCGAAATGTTGCTGTCTTTTTTGACAGAAAGGTGTGGAGTGTGATGCCCAGATAAACATTCATTCATTTCAACTTGCAACATCTAATAAATAGCATATCTTTATAGTTAGGGTGTTGATTATTTGCATTATTTTTTTAATTATATGCCAGTGCTTGCCTGCAATCCCACCAGGTGGTAAGTGTTGATGAAGCCTTAGATGGTAAATTTCACTGTTTTAGTGTAACATAAGCCTATATTCACTCTTGCCTTGAAGACACTCAGATTTTAATTGGACTGAAAGGTAGACACTAGCAGATTACTCGACTCCTTTCCTGTATGCATTACGAAAGACGAAGCAAACCATTTGGTAGAAATGCGTGGAATATTATCAACAAAGAGATGAAGACGTAATTCCTACGCTCACTCCAAAATGCATCTTATAGAATACCGAGAAGCTGACTGCTCTGAATCTGTATCTACAAGGCTATTCAGTGTTGTGCTGTAGTGACTATACCTTACTTCATGAGTTTTACTGCATTTAGATTATAATTAGTTTAAAGTTGGCCTTTATACATAGCACAGCTGGGCTCAGCCACTAGAGCACTCGATCCCCCACTCAGCTCCAGTGATAGTAAGGGGTTAGTAATAAAATATTTCATTGAACTCAAACATGCAGGTTTTCTCATCATGTTATCCATGTTTTCACTGTCGAGCATGTGGTTTATCAGCACTTAAAATTGCAATAAACCATTACATCAGTGCAGGTGGAGATCGAAACTGAGCAGTGGATTTGTGAATAACAACTGTGATGATGATGACTATTAAATGCCAATTGCGAACAACATCGCACATTTCAAAATTTAATCTTGAAAATGTCATAAAGGAATGGATAAACATACATATAATATATTGACACCTGCAAAATGTGACTCTCTCTCTATCTGTGGCAGTCGAGTAAGAATGAATATGTCATCACATGTATGCTCACCCTTATAAAAAAGACAACACAGTTTTTACTACATAAAATTGCGTTGTCTACATTTTACTATTATTATTTTGTTGACTATGATTTTTGATTTACTATATTTAACAATTTTTCAAGCATTTTTTCTTGAATCATCAGTATTTGTTGAAGTGTACTCACTGTGTTTTCTATAAACCAATCTGCATTTTTTTATGATGCAAATCCTACTTATAACACAAACAAGCCGATTGTGTTTTACTGATGCGACGTTCGTCTGTTGCAGCGGGCTACCGCATGAGCATGCCGGGCGGCGCGGGCGCTGCGGGCGCGTCGTGGGGCGGCGCGCCGCAGCCGCTGATGTACGCGTCGGCGGCGATGCCCTCGGCGCAGTACCCCTCGCAGTAGCGCGCCCCGCCGCGCCCCCCAGGCGTCGCCACTCACCCGCCCGCGTTCTTTGACGGTACTGCTGTCACGTCCACACACGACACCCGCGCACCCGCGCATCCGTGCATCCGTCACACTGTCACATCGACACATGTCGCTCTCACACCAGTCACTTTGACATCTGCCAGTCTGACATCTGTCACTCTCACGAATGTCACGCCGACACCTGTCGCAGTGACACCTGTCAAATTGACAGTTGTCTTGATGACTTATGTCTCGTTTGACGTCTGTCAAGATGAGACAACACGGGTCATAGTCGATCACACATACCACTCGTTAGGGGACTGTGTTACGTTTTGAAACATCTTGGACTCTTCTAATATGGTAAGGTATAGGAAACTAGAAAGTCCAACGGGTAATAAGATTTATGTTTTCTAATGTGATGTTAAGTCCGACCTATGTTATTCACTTCAGCTTTCTTGCAGTTGTTTTATTTTATGTGCATATACAAGCATACCTGACTCTAGTCTATGCTACTCATCGGTACATTCCATTCCATATACTCCAATGTACCATTTTAGTAAAACCATTTGACTATTAAGAACGCCCGCGGTTTGTCTGGTAAAACATAGCACTATTTCTATTCCTGGCAAGAAGTATCAATTGCAGATGTAATATATGATAACGGAATGAATTTTCCGTGACAAAATCATAATGTTATTGATTAAAAAATCAAGTTCCAAGTGCCTATAAAATGGTAATATTTGTTATCAGGCGAGTCTGCTTGAGTTTGTTACTTATTAATATCTTTTCCTTTTTGAGAAGACAACATGTTCCCAGACGCAAATTTTCATTTGCTATATAGATGTTTGGAGATAGACAATAAAATTTAATATTGCCCAATTGCAAACAATTCTGTTTACTGCTGAAGAAACATTTTTTATTTGCATAAGTAGATGTGTAAGCAAACATAGCCACTATTTAAAGGAGATATTCTCTTTGTTAGTTTAGGTTTAAAAGAGCTTTAACAATACCGTTCACATTGACAATTTACAATTTTAAACTGACACTTGTTTGGAAGTTGTCAAAGTGAAATCAGTCTACACACAGTATTCAATATACTCAAATTTACATCACAAACAAAACGTGACATGTTAGTAGCCTCAAAGAACGCATCGTCCAAACTGTTAAACATATCTGGAGAAGAGATACATTGGGGAGCTCATGCTATGGGTGGATTAGTGACACGTCCAAACCTTGGATACTGCATGCAAGCCAATAGATAATCGTGTCGACCGTACAAGATAGTTCAGCGCAAGAGACTGTACGAGAGAATACGTCGCAGCGGACGCGGGTTCGTATACACGCGCCCGGCACGTTAGCCGATCTACATAGATAGGACATAACGAAATAAATTATAAATTTAAAAAAAAGTTATATATATAAGTGGGGAGATGTGTAGCGAGCGGAGACGTGGCCTCGTGTACATACGTTGATATTTATTGGCGGCCCGCGCTGCCAGACTGAGATGTATTCCCGATCCTCACGACGCGCCAGACCGTTTGACGTATTTATAATTATTAAGTTCGGCACATGTTGTTTTGTTTGACCTGAATTGTTATGATTTATTGTATGGAAACACTGGTGTGTCAATAAAGCAGTGGGTCAGGGACACCGGGTGTTTGATTTGCCGTCGTAACATGCACCGTATTACGTTTGTTTCTGGGTCCAAAATTGAACGTCGGCAATTCGTTCCTCTGTGATTGATGTCTGCGGAATATAACAATCGGACGGTGAAAAATTATTGTAAATTCTAAACGTCATTTTGTAAAAGGAAAATAAATAGTTTAAGTTTAATATAAAAATTTTTGATTGATGCTTTTTTGGTAAAATGATTTTGAACAATAATCCCGTCCTCCTTTAATGCCCACTAACTTAATTTTGGCATGGATGTTTTGAGCCTAACTTACTATCGTTGACTATCACTGACTTACATTAAGTGTTTTTTTTTATTTGTGTCTCTTTCTATTATCATTTAGTAAAAAGAGAGAGAGAGAGCAACTTTAAGCACATCTTAAATTGACATCCATTTTTATGAGTAAGACCCATAAACCTTAACCATATTAATTACGTTGCAACTAATTTTCCCACAAAATGATGTCACTGTTTTTCATTGTTTTTCCCCAATAACAGGTAAAGTGTAAAAATGGTTGACGACTTGCAAAAAAAAACTATTTTTAGAGTAAGACATTTTAGGAACCTGTACTACCTCTGTGTATTTTAACTTGACGCCAAGGACTCTGCTCTTGCGTCGATATAAACTTTTACAAAATTAGGTTTTTTGATACAAATTTTCCAGAAAAATGGGGCCATAGTTTTTTTTTCTATATCTGTCCCAAAAGTAGCTTAATTGTATGAGGTTACAGATTTGAAAAAAAAATATTTGTTAAAATAGAATAAGAATAGAATAGAATATTATTCAATATAGATTACAAAAATATACTTATTGAAAGTCATTTCTGTTTTACCCACGGATTTGGAAAATACTGTCCTGGAAGAACCAGCAAGAAACCCAGCGGGACAAGTCATTATAAAATAAACATTAAATGACAATGTAATGTGTTGTATAATTAAATATTATGAAAACAATTAGAAACAGCATGGTAACGATAAACTCATTCCCAGGGCTTATTATTAATCATGTACTCTATTGTAATATAATAACCCTTATTAAACAATTACCAATTACCCTTATTAAAAACAGCTATTGCAGCCCATGGATACCTGCACCCAATATTAACCTTTCAGGTGCTCACATATTATTGGACCAACTTAGTCAGACCTATGAAAGAGTATAGTGGGTCAGGCCAAGGACAATATTTTATTAAATGAAGGGTAAATATAACTTAATCATTACTATGTTCTTATCTAAAAACAAAAAAATAACATAAATTTAAATATCGAATTATTTGTTTCAAGGTCAAGTGACCGCGAGAGAAACGACGATTGATGTCGATAAATAAAATATATTGAGAAATTATCCATTACCGTGTAGAGGTAGTGTATGAATATTCATATCATTTCGTGGGTGTCGTAAGAGGCGACTAGACTTGGGGAAAAGTTTTATTTTTAAATAACCGTGACCATCGTTCCGGTTACAAAAAAGTCGCAGTAAAATATCGTTGTGACTTTGTCACGTTAATAACATTGGATAACTACTTGGAAGATTAGAACGACTTATAACGTGACTTTGTAGTAAGTACTAAGTATGCATTTTAGATTTAGTATTAGGTTTTATTTCAGTAGTCGATTTTTTATTACCTTCCTTACCTTAGCTACGTGGCTATAATAGAAGCACCATGCTATACCAGAATGATTTTGTGCGTGCACTCACGGGCCTTAGGGTCGAGCATAGTGAAGCGCATTATTGTTGTCGATAAGCGTTATCGTTAGTGTGTTTAGTTTTGTCATTATGTGGATTAGTGATAAAAATGAAAAAAAAATTAGATAAAACATTACACTTAGACAAATTATTAATTAGGTATATAAGTATTAAAAAAACTATAAGTACAAATATTTGGAATGTAACAAGTTATATTAAAAATAAATATAAAGATAATAACTTATATCTAAAATTAAATTTGTTGTTATCGATAATGGCGTTGCGCCCGCGCAACATATTCACCGCCCTAGCCGGGCTGAGGCCGAGCTATGATTTATGACCCCAACTGCATGGACAAAATAATTTGACTATAATTATATTTTTTGAAATATACGAATTTCACCTAACCTAGCCGATCAGTCGGTGTACCGTTCCAGTTACACGGTTCACGTTCTTTGTTACATAATAGCAAGGTACGTGTAGTTCCTTTTCTTTGGTTAAATCAATGACAGGAGTACCGGCTCTAATCTCTGTCGAACGCGGATGCTCCGTGGAACGAATCCTCATATGTTAAAATCAAATAACTATTACGAAGAAAAATCAAGGAAAAGAAATATATAATATAATTATATCGATATACTCAGTAGGAGCTTATAAAAATAATAAATATTCAATCATAGATATATACTTTATTACGCTATCTTTGAGCTATAACGTAATTTTGGCTAATTGGACTTTGTGGAGGATGAAAATTTGTTTTTTACATGATTTATATAACTCACACTTTGTTTAATTTTCAATTATTTCTGATTACGTGAACATGCGTGAACGACATAGTATTTGAAATGCAAAATTTATAAAGTTATAAAATTGTTACGAAACAAAATATAAGCAAATAATTTCAGTGTAACTTTAAAAAAAAAGTGTTAATTTTGTGTACAAAACTTACCTTTTATATAAAAAAAAAAACTAACAACAAACTTTCTTTTGTAACAACAAAATTTTTTTTAGTTACCTCTTACACTCGCGCGGCGAAGGAAATAGACTGAAGTATATATGCAGTCAACACGATGTGTAGGTAAAGGTGGAAACTCGTCATTTAAAGTAAATTAGTAATTTAGAGAATTGTACTCTTTGTTTCCAAGGGATCCCTTCTAAATATTACCATACTCTTTGGAGGGTTTTTGTCAATGACGTGTCCACGACTTTTTCTGCCACCAGGATGGCGCCACTAGAAAGTGAGGTATAATATTTGACAGATTTCATACCGGAGAAGTTAATTTGTTGGTTATTGTTTATTTCTGTAATATTAGTTATATTTTGTATTAATAAGATTAAAAATAAATAAACCATAGCACAGATATTAGTATAAAAATATTAGTATAAAGTAGAAAAATTAAAAAAAAAATTAAAAATGTGCAAAAAACTAAAGAGCAAACCACTGACTCATTGTTTTGTGCATAGGTTTTGTGTATTAATATAATACTCTAGAAACTGATACGTAACTGGCTTTACGGCTCTGGGTTCTAGCCCTTCTGAGCCTGAAGTTACAATGTATAATTATCCTTCATAGTACACTGCTTTACAATATGTTGATGCGTCACATTGTGCAGCCGTTGGGAGTTTTTGACGGCAACTT